TCTCTGCACCTTTGGCAGGGGGCTGGTTGTGGGGCATGGGTAACATGGGAGAAGAGGTTGTGATTGCTGCCGTCTTGAACCTTGTTGGAAGGTTCATGTGTGGAGGAGGACACAGGAGAATGAGCTAGTCTGGGGCCAGAGTGAATGGCTAAAGGAAAATAAATTTTTTCCTGGGGAAACCAGGCAATGAGGAATACCCCACAACAAAGGGCCTTGTCTGAGCTGGCTCCTGTCTCTGGGGCCTGACCCAGTTGTTAGGCACACTGGAGACTGTGGTGACCTTGAGCGTGGATGGTCCCAAACACTGTGCCGCGTGTCTTTGTGCAGCTGTGGAGGCCTCAGGAAGCCCACTGAGAGAGTGGGCCTGTTCCCGGGCTTCAGGCAGGGAGCCAGGGGCCGCCCCTTCACCAGGGAACATTGAGGAGCTTCTGTGTACGCTCTCTATGTGTCTCAGCTTTCTTTGGAATTGTGGCAGAGTCTGGCCCTGCCTGGTCTTTTTTGTGCCTTGGATCCTAAGTTAATAACTGAAGGAACAGTGCCCCTGTTGACACACTTGATATGGAAGTTGCTGTCCAATGGCCATTTTATCCTCGTTGCCACTGACATCACACCATGTACAGTTCTGAGGTTCTCACTTGAGTTTTGATTGAATAGAGCTATGATCGTTGGAGCAGAAAGCAGCCATTCATATGTGAATAGACATGTCTAGTAACATGCAGATGTTTTTTGGCAGGTTGATGAATATTTTAAATCTTTTTCAAGAAGTAAAAAGGGTTGAATTGGAAATAGAGAAGATTCTGTGGCAAGAGAAAAGTATATTTCATTTCTCTCTCAGTCTTCCTTTTCTTAAAATAATCAAACAAAAACGAGAACCAGGATTTAAATCTTGGATTTGTCATATCCCTTACATCTCCTTCTTTACATGGGAGTTGTGATTATGACTCTCATGTATTGAGCCTCAGTTTCTCACATTTTTAAGTAAAAAGGAAACACTGGCTAATATTAAAAAATAACAGCAGAATCTCCAGATTGGATCTTTGTCACTTATTTATAGCTAAAGACACAGGACTAAATGGAAGGAAGGGTCATCTTCTGGTGATCTATAAGCTATGTGTGGTATGTGGGCACACCCTGGATTTATCTCCTCCACCCCTCCCCAGCACACCCCGCCACCGTACTTGCAGCTTGAGTCAGTGCAGCTTTGTTTCCTTCATCCCTGTCGGTCAGTTCTTCATTAGTCACTCTGTCACCGCCCCTCGTCCCCCTTTACCCCTCCATCGGCAGAGCTGACACAAGCCCCTGTTGTGCTCAGCATGGCCCCAGCCCCAGACGAGCTGGTGTCTGAGCAGGGGAGACCATGAAACAGGTCCTGCGGAAAGTGCTGTAAGAACACCGAGGAGGGGAAATCTGGTTCTGCATAGAGGTGGGACCAAAGGAAAACAGGAGTGAAAAGGTGGTTTTTGTCCTGGGCCCCGACAGCGATGGCGAATTAGGAGAAAACTCTCCTGACCCAGCAGGGTGGTGAGATTGGAGTGACAATGCTTCGTCCGGTGCCAGGAATCTGCTGGGGGCTTTATCTGTTTCTGCCCCTTCCTGGGATAGAGGCGAGTAGAAAAGACACTGGTAACCACAGGAGTGTGCCTGTAACTGACTGACTCCTTAGCTGGCCTCTGCCTCAGTTTCCCACCTTTCTCCCATCAGCTTACAACCGTCCTCTTAACTCCCTCTCTGCCCTGTAGTCTTGCCAAGCCTCTTGCCATTCTCTGAACATGTGGCTGATGCCCCGTTGACTGTGTCTGTTCATTCCTCTGCCCTGTGGTAAGGTGCCTGTGGGGGTGCCGTGGGAGATGTCCCTAGGTGGTTGGAAATAGGAGAGCACTACGGGGCTACGGGGATGGCTGCATCAAGAGAGAACTCACAGTTGAAGGCTTCTCAGTTTTATTTTTAGAGTTTTCTCTAAAAACAAAGATCTCTGTGTATTCTCCCAAAGATAGAGGATTTGATCCGATCTAAATAGTTGGGAGTAGCTCATTTTTGGCCAGGGCCTTATCCTCTGGCTTCCAGGCCTGCAGGCAGTCACACATTTGCAACATTCATGGATCAGCCTTTTCCACCGGGGAATCTGGGTCACTTCAGTCATGTTTCTCAAACAAAACATTAGCACTACTTCAGCAGGAAGAATAAAAGCATGGAAAATGCCCTAATGCCCACAAGCCCACAGTTGAATAGAGTCAACTATTGAGAGTATCTACATATGCATATCTGTGTCTGTCCAAAAACACACACATGGGGAAGGAGAGGTCTATCTTGCCTTAAGCCTTGGAAACTTAAAACTTGAAGATTCCAAAAATTTAGATTTAGAATAAAAATTAAATGGGATAGTTGGTCAGTTTTTAAAGAATGATTTTTTAAATGTAAGACAAATAAAAGGTACTTTTTTTTTAAGATTTACCTATTTGAGAGAGAGAGCATGTGCACGCACTTGCACACGAGGAGGAGGTACAGGGGCGGGGGGCAGGGGGAAAGGGCTGAAAGAAGTCTCATGACCCTGAGATCACAACCCGAGCCAAAACCAAGAGTTGGACGTTCAACCAACTGTGCCACCCAGGCGTCCCAAATGAAAGGTACTTCTGTTTCACTTAAACATTGGATGACAACATTTATTTATTCTCAACTTTTCAGAAACACACCCTTTAGTTAAGACAGATATACCTGGTTTTAAAAAACAAATGCCACTCTTCATACTAGACAGGGCTGTCCTATGAATTTTACTTCTTGGCAATTTTATTTCACCAAACCATATCCTCTTTGAAACAATGGAGCCGATGCCTTAAAATATCTCGGGCTGTGCTTGCTAGGAGTCTTTGAAGCTAAAGCTGTGGCATCCTTCTGGTTTATGGCTGCAGGATGATGCATATATGTATTGTCTTTGTTAATTAACTCCATCTGTTTTGTAAGCCTGAAAAAGAAATTGGATGAAGCTGCATATATGTATGGATGGGTAATATTCCTTTTGCAATAGTGAGCCAGCAGCTCCAAACAGCTTTTCAGTTTTCCTTTTGCTACCAGTTGCTAAAGTGCTGTGGAGCTAAGGCTCATTCTTCAAGAACCTGTTGTTGAACTGGGCATCCCATGCAGTTGCACTTGTGCTATCTGTGTGAGAGAGGTTGAGTTTCCTTACTACTTTGGAAAAGGGTAGTGATTCTCCAAGTGCGCTTTCTGTGGCAGATGAAGGGATCTTTCACCTTACAAATAGAAAATTCCATTCTGTAAATCAGAATGACTGCCTTCCTAAACCTCTTTGAAAGTGTTCAAGTGGAAGTCAGACTTCCACTGTATATATGTTCCCTTCGGTGAAAACTTTTTTTTTTTTTTTTTTAGATTTAGTTATTTTAGAGGCGGGGAGGGGCAGAGGGAGAGGAAGAGAGAGAAACTTAAGCAGACTCTGCGCTGAATATGGAGCCTGATGCAGGGCTCGAACTCATGACCCTGAGATCATAACCTGAGCCAAAACCAAGAGTCGGTCGCTTAACCAACTGTGCCACGCAGGCACCCCTCCCTGGTGAAAAGTTTTCATGGTACTAAATTTCTCTTTGCTGGTTATAGGGAGACTAGTTAAAAATTTTCGACAATGGGGATTCCCATTTTTTCCAGCTCGGCATTGTCTGCATCCCCAGTGGGTTATCCAGAAGAAAAGGCCTATATGGCCTGGTGGCATCTCCTCTGTTAGGACAGGACGGCATGTCAGAAGCAAGGAAGAGATGGGGTGATGTGGGTTGCTAAGGTACCGGCTATAGTGGCATGCTCATTAGCACATTCTCTCCCTCCAGCCTCATGCTGGTTCTCTTGCATGTCTGCAGTCAGTTCATGATTTGAATACCCATCTGCAGAAGACAGTATATGAGTTTCTAATTCTCTTCCCCATGGTCATTTTTTTCTTTCCTTCATTCTGAGTCATCTTTGATTAAACAAAACAAAGATGTTACTGTTAATTATGCACCCTTTCAAACAGTGCAAAAATTCTTTTGTGTGTGTGTGGGGATGGTTTTGATGGGGATAGTAATTTATGATGGCAGTATTTTAAACCATGGACCAGGATGCTAAGAATCATAATGAAAAAAAGTGTAAGTCTCTGCTAAGATAGGAAAAATGGTTTCTGCTTTTTTATTCACATTCCTCAGACCTTTTACTTTCTTCCCTAACGTTGTCAACATAATTCCATTCAGCCATTTTTATTCTCTTTAGACATCTTATTAAAACTGAAGCTTTGTTCAAATAGCTAAAATTGCAAATAATAAATGAGATACCATAATATTGGCAGGTTATAGGCAGAGTGCATGAGCAAACTGGAAATCTGCCATCCTGCTCCTGGCACTTTAAAGATTAATGTGAAATGGGCAGGGGTGCCACAGAATCAGCACTCAGCTCTGCCAGGGGGTTGGCACAAGGTTCTAAGGTAATCCTGGGGCTCAAGTTCCGTGGACAAGTTGGTGCAGGCTGGTGGGTTGGCACACTTCCCGGAGAGGGGAACTCCAGCTGATGGGAAAGAGGGGCCATCCCAAGAAGGCTGTTTTGACAGCAAAGCCCACCCACAGTTAGACAGGAAGTGGGGCACATATGGGTTGGGGGCTAAGGGAAGATCTAAGCCAAGAGGTGAGTTGAATAAGACCTTGGAAGACTCATTTTTTTCATGTGTCCCAACTATGGATGACTTGTAGGCACTCAGAAGGTGTGTGTGTGTGTGTGTGTGTGTGTGTAACACCTCCATCTTTATCTTTCCTGACTCCAGAAACTCAAGATCTCATGTCGGCCAGGTCTTTGCAGTTGCAGGCAGGTGTTTGTGGCATCTGTGACTTAGCAACGATTGTGTGAACGAGAAAAAAGTTGTGGGCAAGTTGATTTTCTGCAGCAAATGGAAATTCTATGGTAGCACTTTGTGGGAGGTTTATAGGCAAAGAGTGTTCAGTTCTTTTTTGATGTCTATTTTTTTTCTTCTACAGTTTTTTGAAGAAGCAGGATGCTGATCTAGACGTGGAAAAAGTAAGTTGACAAGTTTTGCACTGAGAGCACATGCCTTGTGAATTAGAAAGGGTGTCCCATTGGGACCCAGGACTTGATCCACTTTGAACTTGGGATTGTGACTCTGAGTCTGTAGGTTTCTAAGAGAGAGGTTGAGTTGGAGAGGGAGCTGGTACATGAACAGAAAGTCTTCCCTCACTTCGGTGAATCTGCCATTTTCCCCTTCTCTTAGTTGTAACACTCGGTTTTGATAATTATGGGAACATATTTTTTAGCTATACGATGTGTCTCCTTACCCCAGAAATAGAATGGGACAGCTGTCCTGTGGCTGATGAGCCTTCAGGGTCTGCTGAGGGGTGGGTAGCACTCTGTCTTCAGACTGGTCAAGGAAGTCCATCCATTTTTGTTTTTTCTCTACTCTGAGATGATTACTGCTTACCTCTGCCCTAGTTATACCTTCGAATTGTAGTCACTGTGTCACAGGTCATTCTTGCATTCACTGAACATTTTTTTGAGGCGCACTGCGTGTTAAGCACCATGCTGGAATCAAATGAATTCCATTTGAGACAAAAATGAATGTGACCGACAAGTACACAGGCAATGATTATACAATGTGATAGAAGTGTGCAGAAGGGGCTCTGGAAGCTCAGACTGAGGCTGGACTGTCCAGAAAAGCTCCCTGACGGAGGGGATGTGTGAAGGAACCACATATTCATTGCTTCTGTAAAGTTTGCTGAGTCTTCTCTGCTTGTACTTCACTCGTCTCCCAGGTGTCTTGGGTTCCCATGAAAGGTTGGACTTAAGTTAAGTCTCACTAGCCACCATGGGATCCTCTTCTGCCTCAGTCTCCACTGCCCAGTCACATTGCCTTAGGGGTAATTTTTCAGCAGTTCAGAGTTACAATCCTCCGTTCCCTGGCCACTCAGGGGCTCCACTTCATCATCTAAGAATGACTTGGGGTTATTTCCCATTTTGAATTTGTCTGTAAGACAGGTTCTTCTCCCTGAACCTAGAGACATTCTTATGCAGTTGGTGTACCTTTAAGTCGAGGAGGTATACTATCTGAAACCTCCTTCTAGAACAATTATGAGCAACCCCTGACCTTTTTCCCATGCAACCCCCTAGCTTCTGCAGAATGGCCTGTGATCTACTTTCAGTCGTGGCCTTTTCAGCTCATGCAAACCAAGGTGACTCAGGCTCTAGTCAGGGCTAGATTGGAGGGGAGCCTTTTCAAAATCCCGGTGTGCTTAGGTTTTGGCTGTGGAAGCCAGGGGCTGGCAAAGGTACTCCCTATGGGGGTTGGGGGGGTCAGCACCGTGGCCCTCCTGGGCCAGGCTGGCCCCAGAGCAGGCTAGAAGAGCCTTTGGGTGCCAGGAGCCACCTCGGGATGGTGTAGCGCAGAATAGCCAGACTAGCCAGACGGGTTAGGAAATGCCTGGAGCTGTTCCAGGTTGCAGGGCTTGCCCTGCCTTGTGAGAGGTGAATCCTACAACCATGAAAGGGGGAGGTCCAGTTTATGGAGGAGGCGGGTCTGTTAATTGTGTTCTCAGTACAACCCAATGCCAGGCAGACAAGAGGGCTCAGTAAATGGGGTGTGAAGCCCTAAGTGGAATGAATTAGAGTCTTGCTTCAGCTCTGCTGTTCACTTGCTCTAAGACCTTAGGCAAATCTTTTCTCCTGTGCAAGCCTCATTTTTCTCATCAGTAACGTCCATTTTCCAGGATCAAGTAAAATTCTTCATTTTTTAACTTAAAAACATAAACCGCACGTATTTCTTAATTTTCTGACTCGGACTTTGTACCAAAAAGGACAAAGGGCTGTTGGCCATGAGTCTGAAGGATGCTTAATAAGGCCCACCAGAAGCTGGGAGGTCCTCTCAGGCGCAGCCTTGTCTGTTGTACGTACCCTCAGGTACAACACTGGCTGCAATGAGTATCTAATGAGGGAATGAATACTGTGACTGACCCTGTCATGTGGGTTGGGTATTTGTAAGTACTGAGGGAAATTCAAAGTAAGAGAAGCTAAAAGGGTGGTGGGAAATGCTTCTTGGGCTGCGTGAATTTGAGCTGCCTGCAGAGGACTCTGCCTGCTGCACCCTCTCGGTCACATAGTTAATGACCTGGAAAACACTTAACCGCCCTAGGGGAGTTTACTATTTTAAAAGTTCTAATTCAAAAGCTCCAATTCCAAAATTTTTTCTAATGCTGATAGAAGGCTGTTGAGCACAGATGTATAAATTGTTCTTTTCGCCTGTATTTATATATCTGCCAAGAAGAATCTAGAATAGGGTGTGCCTCCATTGTATAATTAAATGATACCTGCTGGCCAACCCAAGTGAAGAAAAATCACAGAAGTCAGGGTATGTTTTTTTCTAAATGGATTTTTGAGTTTTCTCTTTTAGTTGAACATTTTTGTAAAGATAGAACTATGAATGGAAAATTAGCCATAACTCAACATGTGAAAGCTCAAAGATAAACCAACTAAATCCTGTAATTATTAATTATTATCTATAGTTTATTGAGCTCATACTGAGTGCTTTCTGTGTGTCACACTTGACCATTACAACAATTCTGGGGGGGAACCATGTCCCTTGCTTGAGGCACTACAGTAATAACAAGGATTCTAATTCTATCTGTCTGGGTCTAGAGCCTTCTCTTTCTCATACCCTACCTTACCTTGAAATTGATACAATATTTGGGACAATATATTTGTGTGACCTCTTTCTAAAAAGTATTACGAGTAATAAAAAGGCAGTGTTACTTTCTAGAGAGGTCTTCTTTGACACTCCCCCGCAATCTGGATGGGGTTGCCCTGCCACCATGCACTTCTTCAAAGCTTTCATTGTTGTATAGTTATTTGTTCAATAACCATCTAGTATCTGTTTCCTCTTGAACTGTAAGCTTTGTCAGATCTGAATCCTTACACGTGCTAAGCCTAGTGCCTGACTTCTAGAATGCCTTCTTAAAATGTTGACTACAGGCATCAGTGACTGGCACATGACCAAATTAGGGGGTATGAGAATCCATGAAAGCCACTTTGGTAGATGGCAAAGTAAAAAATCTTTCTGTATACTCCGGAAATCATGGTTTTCTTCCCCATCTATAGGTTTTATCTGTGGAAACCATGCTAGTTAATAGCATTACATGGAGATAAGACAATCACTCCTTGGCTTCCTCTTCAAAAGTACAAAGTTTCAAGCAGACAAATGAATAGATTATTCTTAAGAATGAAGTAATCCGTGCAAGCAAAGAAAGTCTAAGGATAAAAGAAGGAGGAGCGGTAAGAGCACAAGGGAGACTCTAGCAGCAGTACTGTTTTGTTTTGTTTTTCTTTTTTTTCACAGAATCTTCTTGAATTATTAAGGGATACACTTCTGAGTATGGTTTACATAAATCACTGATTTAAATATATACAGTGTATCTTCTAAAAGTAAAACCCATACTCAACTGAATTTTAAAGAATATGTAATCAGGCTATGTCAGAAGGACAAAAATGTACTTTTTAAAAAATAAAACTGATTAAATTGGGTTATCCTATTTGGTGATTTAAATCGTGATTTAAATGGATTTGCTTAAAATAACATCTACTTTGGTCATAACGACTTTCAAAGGGCTAAGGAGAGAGGTTTGATTTCCGTGTATCCTAAATGATTTTCATGTATCCTGCATGGCCTTTGTCTAGCATGATTGAAAGTATTTGGCACTTGCTTTGAAAGAGATCTATCATTTTTGTAGTTTCAGTGAGAACAAGAATCCTTGTATTGCTATTCTGTTTGCAGGGTTTGGGTAGCTGCCTTTAGGCCACAAATATGGCCATAGATACTACTGTTTGATACAGTCTATCTGTATCTGACAAATAAAAATTGTCATTCAAAAGAAGAGTAAAGAGAATGCTTTAGCATGTTTCCTTTTTCCCAGTGAATTCCTTAAAATGTGTTCATCCATAAATGTAGAATGTACGTAGAAGTTGCTCCATTTTTCAATTTCTTTTGTTTTAATAAGTCCCAAGAGAAGTGATAACAATATCCTAGTTTCTTATTGTGGGGCTAATAGTTTTTGTTAAAAAAAAAAAAATGTGGTTCTAAACAATTGGTTCAAAATTTGAGATTGCATCTGGAACCAAGCTTTAAAGTCATGTATATGGGATTCCTACATAGCGGGTTGAGAGGTGGAAAAATTAATTCACATAAGATTTTTCTTTAGTAGGTAGAATAGGATTTCCAGGGGTCAGAAGGTCAGCAGTGCTTATATGGGGAGTCCAAAGGCATGAGGCTGTGTCTCCAAGGAGAATGTGTGTGTGTATGGGGGCAGGGGGCAGTGTCAGGGTGTAGCGTTTCCCTGTGTCTGCTGGTTGCTATAAGGAGGTGTGAAAAGCAAGAGGGAAGAACACCCATAATGTAGAAGCCATTGCTTCCTGAATGGAGTGGAGGGCTCTCTAGGTGGGTGTGGGGAATGGAGAAGGCAGCCCTGGTGTGCAGATGGGGACTGCTCCTTAGGCCTTCTTTGGTCCACATGCTTAGGGCTGTCAGCCGCAGGGCCTATAGGATGCCCACTTGTCTCCCATTCTCCATGCCCTGCCCCAGCCTCCACATAGATTGACCCATTCTCTTGGGGATTGGACATGGGGAAAGACCAGCCCCTCTATCACTGAGTAAAGGCTGGGCTTCCTACAGTCTGCTTTCCTGGTGACCAGGGAATGGTTGGGGTGGGAGGGGATTGTTGGGGAGGGAAGAACTTGCATAGAGTTCTGCTTTAGATTGAAGAGCGAACAGTTTTAGTCCTGCACCAAAAACAGTTATTATACATCACCCATAATAACTGACCAACTTTCTTTTATATAAATCTCTGAATTATAAACCTAAGTGCTGCTGGAGAAGAAAAAACATCCCTTCTGCCAATTCGAATTTCTAAGATAAAAGATACCTCTTCCTAGACATTATAAACTCAGACAGATATTGATGACCATTGGAAGAGCTACAGATAACAAAATTTATGATCCAAGGAAAGAGTGGGAAAATTAGG